TATAATCATTATTATCTTCGTCATAATTATTATCATTTTATCCTCTACAGAATCATCATCACTATTACCCTCATTAAAATCATCATCATCATCATCATCATCATCATCGTTATATCATATCAATATCATCCTCATCAGAATCATTATCATTAAAATCATTATCATTATTAATCTCGCCATAAAAATTATCATCAATCTGTTATCAATCCCGTCCTTAAGATTAATACCACGATTAAATACGACCTTGATAATGCATTTTATCTGAAGGGCAGTTAACGGGCTCTCTTGTTTATATAATCTATAAAAAGACTAATGAACTGTGAAGGAGAAGGTTGGAGATTGTGAAGAGTAAACACGAATTAAAAATAACTCACTGCAGGTTGCTTTTTTTTCGGAATTTTCCCTTGAGGCGAATTTGTTTGTTATTGTGTGTGGGTGGGAGGAGAGGGGAGGGGGGGTGTCTTTGTGTGTGTGTGTGTTTTTGTGTGTGTGTGTGTGTGTGTGTGTAGGAGGGTGCGTTTGTGTGTGTTTTTGTGTGTGTGTGTGTGTGTAAGAGGGTGCGTTTACGTGTGTGTGTGTGTGTAGGAGGGTGCGTTTGTGTGTGTGTGTGTGTAGGAGGGTGCGTTTGTGTGTGTGTGTGTGTAGGAGGGTGCGTTTGCGTGTGTGTGTGTGTAGGAGGGTGCGTTTGTGTGTGTGTGTGTGTGTAGGAGGGTGCGTTTGTGTGTGTGTAGGAAGGTGCGTTTGTGTGTGCGTGTGTGGTAGGGGTGCGTGTGTCTGTTTCTTCCTCTCCTTTTCCACTTCCCCCCCACCCTCTCTGTCTCTCTCTCTTTCTCTCTGTTTCTCTTTCTCTCTTCCTCTCCCTCTCCCTCTCCATCATATCTCTTTCCTCCCTCTCCCCTCCTTCCTCTTTATCGACCCTTCATCATCATCTCTCACAATTCTCTCGCGCTTCAAATTATTGCAAAAACAAACTTTGTTGCAAACCTACCACCTCCCAGCCTTGCAACAGGTGGCCTGACCTTCACCGCCTCCGGGCAGGTCGACGTTCAGAAAATCCGTGACATTGCAAAATCACCCTTAGAGCATAAGGTCCTGGAAAAACCAAGGTGATCGTGACTATTTTCTGTGATGTTATTATGCTGTTTCTGATGTTATTCTTGTGGTCATGTGTGTGATTTTGTCTCGTTTGAGGTCGAAATATTCACTTGGAAGGTGCTCAGTTAAGGATCAGTATAGGCCTATAGGCAATTATTTTATATTCAAATGTTTATGTTATCTGTTGGGTGAAGCTCAGTCTGATTGAAATGATATATATATATATATGTGTGTGTGTGTGTGTGTGTGTGTGTGTGTGTGTGTGTATTCTTTCTTTTCTTTTCTTTTCTTTGCTTTTCTTTTCTTCTTTTTTATGACAATATAACAGTTTTATCTCCCTATCACGAAGTTTATCTTTTTCATTTATTTCTTTATTATTTTCAAGCGTTCAAAAACGATTCCAGCTTCGGACAACATCTTAATCTAAGTTCATATCTTCTGTGGCTTATCTTCATTCACATCCATCCAAGTTCTTTCGTGTCTTTTTGTCATGAGATATTTCAAGGTGAAGTGTAGATTGATATCGGGAGTTGTCGAGAGAGACCACTCTTTATAGCGGCCATGGCGAGACTTCTCCATCTCTAAGCGCCCCTTCCAAGCCCCTCATATGTACACTCTGCTATTTTCCTCTTTTCTCTTCTCTTCTCCTCTCCTCTTTCTACTCCCTTTTCTTTTACCTTCCTCCCTTCCTCCCTCTTTTCTCTGCTCTTCTCTTCTGTTCTCCTCTCTTCTTCCTACTCACTTTTCTTCTACATTCCTCCCTTCCTTCTTCTCTTCTCTTTTCTTCTCCCTTCCTCTTCTTACTCCTTTTTCTTCTACCTTCCTTGCTTCCTCTCTCTTTTCTCTTCTTTTCTCTTCTCCTCCCCTCTTCCTTCTCCCTTTTTATTTCTACTCTCTTTCTTCCCTTCTTTTTTCTTTTTTCCTTCCTCTCTTCCTTCTTTCTCTTCCCTTCTCCCCCTCACCTCTCCCTTTCCTTTTACTTTTTTTCTTCCTTCCTTCTTTCCCTTCCCCTCTCTTCTTCTCCTCTTCTCTTCCTTCTCACTTTTCTTCTACTTTCTTTCTTCCTTCCTTCTTTCTCTTCTCGTCCCTTCTTCCTTTTCCCTTCCATTCCCTTTCCTTCCCTTCCCTTCCCACCCTCCTCCTTCCCTTCTCCCTCTCCACCCCCTCCTTCCCTCCTTCTCCATCCCCCTCCCTTTCCTATCCTATCCCCACACCTCACGCCCCCCCCTCTCACACCCCCCCTCTCACCTCCCTCTCTCACCCCCCTCTCACCCTCACCCTTCACACCTCCCCCTCTCACCCCCCTCTCCCACCTCCCTCTCTCACCCCAACCCTCTCACCTCCCCCTCTCACCCCCCCCCCTCTCACCTCCCTCTCTCACCCCCCTCTCACCCTCACCCTTCACACCTCCCCCTCTCACCCCTCCCTCTCACCTCCCTCTCTCATCCCAATCCTCTCACCTCCCCCTCTCACCCCCCCCCTCTCACTACCTGTTAATTGAGGTGAATTTAATCAATTAAAGCACAAATTAGAAGACGAGGCGAAATGACTCTTAATTGCATAAACGATGATTATGGATAATTTTGGATAATGGGATTTTTCTTTTTCTTTTTTTATTTGTGAAATAAGTTTGTTTTTTTCTTTCTCTCTCTCTCTCTTTCATATTCAGTTATTTATTGCATTGTTCTTTGGTTCCATATGTTTTTTTTTCTTTTTTTATTCCTTTTTATTCATTTTTTAAAAATTTCTTCTTTCACTTCATTTCTTTCCATACTTTTTTTTATTTATTTTTTTCCTTTATTTTTTTTCCTTTATTTATTTCTCTTTAATGTTTTCTCTTCTTTTTACTTCTATTGCTTCTACTAACAGAAACGCGTGCGTAAAGACACGTATTTTCGTGTTTTATGGAGACTTGCTTGCATGAATATTCAGTCTGCTTGCAAATTAGCTTGTAATGACTTTTGCAAAAAACATTAGGTCCGTTTCTCTCTTTCTCTCCTTTTCCTCCTCCTCCTCTTTCTCCTTTTCCTCCTCCTCCTTTTCCTTGTCCTCCTCCTTTTCCTTGTCCTCCTCTTTCTCCTCCTCCCCCTCTTCATTCCTCTCCTCCTTCTCTTCTTCCTCCTATTCCTCCTCAACCTCTTTGTCCTCTTCTTCCTCCTCTTCTTCTTCTTCTTCTTCCTCCTCCTCCTCCCCCTCCCCCCCCTCCTCCTCCTCCTCCTCTTCTTCTTCTTCTTCCTTCTCCTCCTCCTCTTCCTCCTCCTCTTCCTCCTCTTCTCCCTCTTATTCCACCTCCTCCTCCTCTTCCACCTCTTCCACCTCTTCCTCCACCTCTTCCTCCTCGTCCGTTTCCTCCTCCTCCTCCTCTTACCCTATATTTTTATCCTCCTCTCTCTTCCCCTTCCTTTTCCTCCCCATGTGCTTAAAAAAAAAAAAAAAAAAAAAAAAAAAAAACTAATAATAATAATAATAATTCCACGCCCCTACGAAGTCCCTCCACACTCACTCGCGACGCCGCCCGCTTGCTTTAATGCAGAGCCAATCTTGACCCCAGGAATGCATGCCAAATCAGCGGTGCGTCAGTCTCCTCGCCCCTCGTGCATGACTGCGTGGTACGGAGGTTGCAAATTCTGAGAAGTTGCAAGTTTTTTTTTTGCAAAAGGGAGGAATTTGTCGTGGGGTTTGCATGCTTGCGGACTGTCGTGTACATACATATGCATGTACATACATATGCCGTCGCGTATATGCTCATGTAAGCATACAGATAAACATTCGTGTGTAAACATGTAAGCATGCATATATATAGTTGTGTACATACACATACACACACAGATATATGTATTTGTGTGTGTGTGTGTGTGTTTGTGTGTGTGTGTTTGTGTGTGTGTGTGTATCTTTGTGTGTGTGTGTGAGTGTGTGTGTGTGTGTGTGTGTGTGTGTGTGTGTGTGTTTGTTTTGACAGATTTTTGGGCATCGCGAATTACTTATTTCTATTTTAAATCTATTTTTTTATATATTTACATTTTTATTATATATATTTTTATTCTTACATCATTTATTTTTTTAAACATTTATTTTTTTCCTTTTTCATTACTTTTCAATTCTTTCCATCTATCTTTTCATTCATTCTTATCGTCTATTAATGCCTTCCTCTTAATGAATCATTCAAAGATATCAAATTACAATAATATCAAGTTGAAGATTATAATTACCTCTCAGCGCCGGTTATTAGGACGTACGACAATCCGGTTAATACGTAATGCATAATGGTCATGCAGAACCTCGAGCATTAAGAATTGAAAGGGAATTTTAAAGTGTTATATGAAACAGGTGTTTTAATAGATTTTGTTTTATTGTTATTGTTGTTTTTTTAATTGTTGTTATCGTAACCAAAAAAGGAGAAGAAATATATATGTACAAACACACATACATATATATACAAATATATATATATATATATATATATATATATATATATATATATATATATATATATATATATATATATATATATATATATGTGTGTGTGTGTGTGTGTGTATATGTATATACATATACATATATATATATATATATATATATATATATATATATATATATATATATATATATATATGAATATATATATATATATATATATATATATATATATATATATATATATATATATATATGTATATATATACATATACATATATATATATATATATATATATATATATATATATATATATATATATACATATATATATATATGCATATTTATATATGAATAAATAAAAGTGTATACACACACACACACACACACACACTTACATATGACTTTGATTTCGTATATAATCCATATCATGGAAGAGATCTCATAATGAGATGATAAATCCAACAGTCTCCGAAAGTGAGTCTCTCTTTTCCGTTTCAGTGCCCGAGGAGGCAGACAGCGCGGAAGCCAGCCAGATGGCGCAGGCGGCGCTGACGGAGGCGGATGTGCGGAGGGCCCTGACGACAGACAAAGGGCCCGACGCAGACCTCACATCCTGGAGCACGAAGCCGGCGACGAAGAAGGGTGACAACTACATCAGCGCCTTGACGGGGGTTCAGGTCGTCTACTCGCAGGAGGGGCAGCAGAAGGAGGCTTCCTACATCGTGAAGCTGAAGCAGGACGAAGGAGGCAGCGGGAAATGCCAGATGAACAGGATGGTGTACGGGTCGGAGGGGGGCTTCTACACCCGCCTGCTGCCCCGACTCAACCGCGCGCTGGAGACTGCGGGGACCGACGCCCTAAGAGTGCCCCGGTGCCCTCACGTGTCCTGGGGCGAAGGGGACAAGCAGCTTTTCCTGGAGGACCTCAGACCCCGGGGGTTCACAGTGCATGACCGCAGGAAGGGCATGGACGAGCGACACACCTACCTCGTCCTGCAGGAACTGGCTAAGCTCCACGCCGCGTCTTTCCTGCTGCAGCGAGACTCCCCCGAGGAGGACCTGGCCGCGACCTTCGACTTCCTGACGTGGGAGTGGTACAACTTCTCCGACATCACCGAGAAGACGTTCGACAGCGTCCTTTCGGGAGGAATGCTCACCGCCTCCCGCCTCGCCAGGAAGATCGGCAACGAGCAGGTAGCGAGCTGGTTCGAGACGCTGGCGCCGACGGGGGTGGAGTGCCTGCGGGAGCAGCTCAAGCCCAGCGCCCCCTTCAACGTCGTCGGCCACGGCGACTGCTGGGTCAATAACCTGCTTTTCAGGTGAGTCCCGACGGAAACTGGGTTTAGTGAGGGAAAAAAACACCAACAGCGGCAGAAATGATAAAAAATGGTAAGAATGATAATATGAATAACAATGATATGATATGTTTTATTCATACGTACTTAAATATAAGTTTATGTTAAGAAGAAGCCCTTGAAGATACTTGAATATAAATAAATAAATAAAATAAACACAGTAACTAAAAGAGGCTAATTATAAAACGACTGCTTAAACACCGCAGGTACGACTCGAAAGGTCAGCCTCAAGAGATCATGCTCCTCGACTTCCAGTTCTGCCGACGCTCCTCCCTCGCCGTCGACCTCTCCTACTTCCTCTTCACCAGCCTGACGGGCGACGTCAGGAACAAACACCTCGACCAGTTCCTGTCCTTCTACTACGACGCCTTCGCCAGGATCGTGGCCGCGGGAGGGGCGAGGCTCCCCTTCTCCCTGGAGGACGTGAGACTCGAGTTTCGAAGGAAGAGGCTCATCGGGCTGGTCTTCGGGGCGCTGATGATGCCCGCCCTCGTCTGCGCGGACGACGAGGTGCAGGAGCTGGACGTCACCTCCAGCGACGCCGCCAAGAACTACGTGGAGGTGAAGCGCCAGAACTCGCTCTCGATGCTGGAGAAGAACCCGCTGCTGGAGCCCCGCCTGGTCGACCTGTACGCGGACATCGAGGCGTTTATGGAGCAGAAGTAGCAGTGTGCTGGATATGTGTAGTTATCATTATTACTAGTAGTAGTACTATTAGAAGTATT